CGCCATTGGCATCGCCATGGGGCGGTACTCGGGGAAGACGTGCCGCCTCATCTTCATGCTGGTGCTCACCGTCGGCTTCTTCGTGGCCGAGCTGGTGTCGGGCTACCTGGGCAACTCCATCGCGCTGGTGTCCGACTCCTTCAACATGCTCTCGGACCTCATCTCCCTCTGCGTGGGCCTCTCCACGGGGCGCATCGCCCGCCGCAGCCGCCGGGGCCCCCGCGCCCACTACGGCAGCCGTGCCGAGGCGGTGGGGGCCCTCAGCAACGCCGTCTTCCTCACCGCCCTCTGCTTCACCATCTTCGTGGAGGCCATCCTCCGCCTCGCCCGGCCCGAGCCCATCGATGACGCCCAGCTGGTGCTCATCGTTGGCACCCTCGGCCTCGCCGTCAACCTCGTGGGGCTCCTTGTCTTCCAGGACTGGGGTGCCTGCTGCCGTCGCCGCCCTCCTGCCCCGCCACCCGCGGCCACCACGCTGCAGGCCGTGCCCGGCAGTGCCCCGACGGGGGAGGCAGATGAAGCAGGTGCCTTTCGGCTGCATCCTCGCCGCCTTGCCTCGCCGTCCGGCATTCCCCTCGTGTCCCCCACCTCTCATCCACCCCTCACACCCTTCCCCATCCCTCCCTGTCCCCTCCATCCCTCCCTGGAACGCGCTGAGCTGCTAGAGCTGTCCTCTGGGGCCTTTCCGAGCTCCAGACCCACTCGTGGGCCCTGGGGAATTGCTCTAACCTGACACCCAAGGCCTCTTTCACCTTGGACTTTACGCCGAGCTGCTGGGTGTCCTGTTGGGTTGGGGGAGGGAGGCGTTGCTCAGAGCGCTGCATGGGAAATGTTTTGGCTTGTTGTTTTATTTCTTCTTGTCATCTTTGAAATAAGTTGGTTTTGAGAAGGTTGATGTTTTTTCTGTTTGTAGAACTTATACACAACACAGCGTTTCTTCTTTGAATGCAGGTGATTCACCAAATGACCAAAAAAGCCCTGAAGAGGGGCCTGAGAAGAAAAAAGAGAAAAAGTCTGAAGCCTTGAACATCAGAGGTACAGCACAGGAGTATACTGCTAATGTTATGTTAACTTTAAACACTTTCTGTTTTCTATTTCAGTTTTGGGTTTGGTGGGTTTTTTTTTGTTTGGTTGGTTTTGTTTTTGTTTGTTTATTTTTTGTTTTGTTTTTTTTTTTTTTTTTTTTTTTTTTTTTTTTTTTTTCAAATATCAGTAAGAAATGGAGCAAAATTCCGGGACTCTTCTATGTATATGGACCTGGTTATCTTTAGCAGAAAGATTTTGGTTGTGTGACATGGCATAGATGATAACAAAAGAGTGTGATGCTGCTTTGACTCCAAGTATGCTCACACTTTGGTTTTAATTCTTTAGAAGAGTGCAGGTGAACTTTTTGGAAAGGAGGCAAAGTCTATTGCAGTAAGCTCAAGTCACTAGAGGCCTTATAGGAAGGTAAGGCAGGTAGCTGTTAGACACCTTTTTGAGTGTCACTGCTGTAGTAATTGAACAGTTTTCAGCTTTCAAATGCTTTTGGGCAGAAAACAGAATTTCTTTAAATCCCGAGGTTGATAGTGTTTTGTTGTCAGAGTAGAGGAAAAACGTGCTGAAACTTGTGCTTCAGCACAGTGTTTTTCCAGGTCCTTGAACTGTGATGCTGTCCCCAAGAGAGTCCATGACAGGCTCAGCCCTTTTTATGTTGTAATTCAGCAGCTCTCTGGGTATTTGCGGAGTGAAACTGTATAACTGTTTCTAGGAATAAATTAACCAAGTGTCTCTCTCCCTCTCTGTATGCGTGTTTATGTACACGTTTATGTACCTACTCTGATCAGAGCCAGAAGCAGATGTCTTTGAGTATATTAAATGCTAAGTTTGTCCCCAAGGAAGGGGCTGTCAGAAACAGAATGGTAGTTTCAGGCTTCTTATGGTCACCTGTCAGCATCTGATGTTCCTCCAAAGTTGTGTAAGTTGGCATCACATCAGTTCAGCGTAAGAGGTCGACATGGCAGTCAGGCACTTTGGGTTTTTTTGTGGTGTGTGAATGTCTGCCTGTCTTCCAAAGTGTTTTCAGACTTACACAGGTGTGTCTGTAAGGGAAGACACTTTGGAAATCAAACCATGTACTAGAGCCACAACACTTCCCTGAATGCCTAGAAATAGGTGTCACTGGATATTATGGCATTATAGTGGTAAGATTATTGGAGCAGGAAAAGCAAACTGTCACTTTCAGGGATGGAGGAGAGAAGAACAAGAATCTGATGAGTATATTTCAGAGAAGGCCTTACTTGCCTGAATGACAGGGCTTAGGCGTAATGGTGCTAGAAACTTTCAAAAATGTCTGAAGGATAAGGAGGTTTGTGTCAGTTATTTTAAGATACCTGTCGTCTTTTGATTTTTAAAAAGAGAATTTTTCTTTAAGTGCTACTTTAGTATGTCATCTTTGCAAAATCTATTTTTATTGTCCTTTCTTCTGTAGCCAGTGCTACAGATATGTGTCTTTAAAATTCTGATTCAAAATCTATGTTTTGCCTTTTGAAGTTAGTTACATAGCTGTACTTGCTTCATAATCGCTTGGCAAAAAATTCTGTACGTCATGATCAGAGCCTCCACGAAAAACATGGCTGGACAAAATGGATTGGTAGAGGAACTGCTTCCTTGATTTTAGAAGTGGTGGGAATAGGAATCCATACATTCTGCCTGACAGGATTAATTATTGTAGTGTAAAATTACTGCTTCTGCTTCTTGAGCATATGCAGAGTAGTTCAGACTTTGCAACACAAGCTGTTGGAAACTATGTGTTACATATGGTCTACCATACTGACTTTATTTAATGAAAATTAATTTTCAGTTCTATCTTATAACCATGCCTTTTGGGGATCGATAGGGAAATGGGTTCATTTCTGTCGAGGCCCTCGTTATGTGACGTGTAATCAAGACGTACATACTGATGATGTTGTAATGTAAAATAAGCATTTTCCAAATTCAATATTCTCGATTCATAATTTGTCAAAATTCTGAAATACTTACTTTTTTCTTAAATCAAAAAAAGACTTTCTGAAACATTTTCCTGTTCTTTTTAAGCTGTGCTCTCTAGTTAGTTGCCTTGGCAATTGCATCCTGCCTGTCCCTCTTGTTAGTGCTGATAGCCCGTGCTGAATTGGGATCATTGGTAAATTAAAAGGAAACACTGCAACGCTGTTAGGAGGAGTAAAACCCTATGGGAGTCTGCCAAATGGGGCAGAACATGCCTGACTTCAGCAGAAAGAGCTGGACACACCGGAAGCTTGAACTTACTTATCTGACCCAAGTGGTTTGGAGGAACTTCAGTGGTTATTGCCTTCGCTTCTCACACAGCAGATCAATGCTCATGCACAGAGCTGTGAAGAAAGAGCAGCACAGGCACAGCTCTAGGTCTAATCCAGTGTGCAGCATCACCAAAGAATCAAAACTCTTTCCATGTTCTTAATGAGTTTCGGAGGGAGCTTTTTACGGCTTCTTCAGCCCAGAGGGAATGATTAAATTGGAGTGAAGGGCTTGAAAGTGCTTGTCATAGGGGTGTTAAAAGGAGATGGTCCACTTTATTCTCTCACAGGCTTCGAATAAAAAGTATTGACAAAGAAATTGACTTCATATATTTAGAGATGTTATGAATTAGGCATGGATTGGAATGAAATCTGAGTCTGAAGAGTAAAGACTGACAAAACTGGAGTGCATTTGAGCAATGACGGGAAGAAGGCAGACTATGTAAAGTAGTATAAAAAAAAAAAGAAAAGAAAAAAGGAGTTCTTAGATTATTGTAACTTTATTGCAAGAAGACTACTTTGGTCATTGTAGTTGAAAGCGCAGCTGAAAACGTGTTCTTGCAAGAGCCTCTTTTGTGTCGTTACCTTTTGTGCAAAACCATTTCTATAGATGTAAGAAGTGGCACCCAGTGTTCCTCTCAATTTAGAGAAGTCCAGGCACATACCACGCTGTGGTGTCCATGTGACTGACTTTCAAACCAGATTCTGATTTTTTTTGGGGGGGGTCTGAGGGCTAGTAGTGTTAGTGGGACAAGGTTTACTATGACTAGTAATCAAGCTTGATCTCAAAATTGGAGTTTGAGGACATCTGGAGCCATAGGAACAGGCTTAGGTTTCACTTGGGTAATTTTTCAGATTTCAAGACTGTCATAGAAGCTTATGGAGGAGAATAACTGTTATTGGGGGTGGTCTGTGGTGCTCTCAGCTTCCAGGGTGGAGTGGATAGATTTGGTCATCAATTTTTAATTGAGAATTAAGGTTTAATGTGCCGGGAACTCTTAATAATCTGCAGGCGTTTAAGCGAACACATTTCACGTTGCCATGGCATTGCAGTTGGACCGCAGTTGCTAGCATACCCTACATGTTTAATAATGTGTCCCACTTAAGCAGCTGTGGTTCAGAGTCAGTATTTCCCTTGCTGTTTTGTTCTGAAAGCTGTTATTGTAGACTTCAGTTATGGTGTTAGTGCCTGGAATATTGCATTTTTCATGTCAAGTAGAACAGACTTGAAAAATGCAGCATTACTCTCCTCCTGCCCCAAAACCCCCACCCCACTAATGGAAATTGTGCCATTTGTTTCAGGTGTTCTTTTGCATGTTATGGGCGATGCACTTGGATCTGTGGTCGTGGTAGTTGCTGCTACAATCTTCCATGTACTTCCTCTGGGGAATGATCCATGTAATTGGCAGTGCTACATTGATCCAAGCCTGACAATAATTATGGTGTTCATCATCTTGTCTTCTGCGTTCCCGCTTATCAAGGAGACCTCAATTATTTTGTTGCAGATGGTTCCCAAAGGTGTTAATATGCAGCTACTGAGTAAGTAAAGTTTGTTGTTTAAATGCTATTAATTTTAATGATACATTTCGATGCATATGTTTTTCTGGAATGACATGTTTGGATTATTTACTCATAATAGCTCTAAATTCTCAAGAACTGTGAGAAATAGTCACATGCCTGTGTCCTAGCAACATGACTCAAATCTCTGTGGATTAGTTAAAGCATGCATTTTGAGAATGTGGTACTCCAACAATACATCAAAAATACCCAGTCTTGAGCTGTTAATGCTTTGTGTGGGGTGTTTGTGAAAGAAACAACATTGAGTTACAGTATTTCCCAACCCTGCAGTGGCTTCTTCTGAAAGGCTTCCAAAACAGCTTAGAAATTTCCATTAAGGTTGGTTAATTTCGTAGCTCTCTGGCATTGTTCACACTGGTTAATTGTGGGGTAGCGCTGGTTATTTCTGGAATTCCAACATGCTCAGGGCTAAAGAAACCAGAAGATGTGAGGTCTCGGCCAAGGAAGTGGTGCTCTAACGTGGCTTCTATGAACAGCTGGTAAATTGCCATGACACAGAATCACAGAATGGTAGGAGTGGGAAGGGACCTCTGGAGATCATCTAGTCCAACTCCCATCTAGTCCAGTGAGCCTGAGGGATGGGTGAACCCAAAAGGAAGGGTGGCCTGCTCATGTGGTCATCTGGAGGCAGCTGGGAGTAGACATATTTTACTAACTACAGCTCTTTTAAAAAGGTATTTCAGAGACTGCTGCATTCGGATAGGGCTCTTAATGAGAAAGCTAGTAATTAAGCAGTACAAGAAAGCCTCTAATATCTTTCTCTTATGTCTTCCAGCTGACAGACTAGCTCGTGTACCTGGGGTTAGCAGCCTTCATGAGGTGCATGTTTGGGAGCTTGCAGGTGGGAAGAATATTGCTACTCTTCATATCAAGTGCCAAACCCCTACTGATTACCAAGATGCTGCTTATAAAATGCGGAAGGTTTTCCACGAAGCAGGGATCCATTCTGTGACCATCCAGCCTGAGTACATTGACCACAAGACCTCCCAGCTACTGTGCAGCTCACCCTGCATCTCAAAAGCTTGTGACTCTCAGCTGTGCTGCAGTCAGCGGGAGCCCCCCCTGGCTAAAACTAACGGCTATACTGAGAAAAATGAGAGTTGCCTTTCTGCACCGCATAAAGACAATGGTTCAAGTAAAAATGATGTTGAAATCCCTATCGAGTACCCACTGGCAGAGGATAACATAAAAAATCATGGCGTGTCTGATGGCAAATCACAGCTGAGCAGTACACGACTTTAGGCAATTCCCTCTGCTCTGAGTAATGTTTTCATAGAACAAACACATCCTGGCTGGGAAGGGGGTTGTCGGTGGTTGTAGCTGAAGTTGGTGTGGCAAAAAGATTTCTGTGCTTTAGCTGTAAACCAAAATACACCTAAAACCCCCTTGTATCTGAAATAAGGATTAATATTTCCACGAAGGGTGTGGCGTTCATCTAAGATTTTTCCAATACAGGTTAACCCAGTTCCTTATCAAACTGCGTGCGAATTTCTGTTGTTAGAGTGGATGGGGTGTATTGCTGTCTGCACTGGTGCTTGCAGTTAAAGGCCAGTGGCACTGGGAATGAAACTCTGGCCTTTTCTGCTGAAGTGAGCTGTTTCCTGAAAGCCCTGTGGCCAGTTAACGATTGTACTGGGCTGAAGTACTGTAGATTTACAGAGGACTTCAGTAGAGATGCTTTACTGATCTGTAAACCCCATTTTTGCATGGACAGTTCGTGTTTAACGATAACACTTGTGCTTCTGGCCAGTGGGGTTTGTGAATGAAACTAAGAGTGTCTGAGGGGGAGGGGAAGCACTCAGGAATTTTGACTGAAATTGTTTTCTTGACTGACTCCTGTATTTAGGGACAGAGCAGAAGCTGGTCTTGCTTCTCTACTAGTAATACTGGAGTCCCAGCCTGATCACAGATAATTATGCTGAAGAATAGACTTCTTGTCATGAAAGCAAAGAAATACTTACTAATGTTGACTGTACTGATTCTAGCAAATGGAAATGCAGGCAGTCATCCAACTAACTTTTGTCTTGTTCACTGTTGTGATTGTACAACTCAATCTTTTTCATTTTTATTTTTTATTTCTCCTGACAATAGAAGGTATAATAGCCACGGTCTTTATTCATCATTTTGCGGGATGATTGCGGTATCTATAACACTGAGTGTCTGTCATTCACACTGAATAAATAAGCTAATGTGTTTATTACGAACAGTTAAAATTCTGCAGTTCTATTATTAAGAGATAATTTAGTATTATATTAATTAAGAAAGTCTCTTTGAAGTTTTATATGCAGTATTATCACTTAGAGGGAGCTTTAGAAAACAATTACAGGGAATTTTTCCTGGTTTAGTCTCAATTATTTCTTGTTGGTTTGTTTTAAAGGTCTAAGCCCTCCCCTCTGCCCTGCCCCTCCTCCCCCTGCCCAAAGGTGTATTTCAGACTGTATTTAGTGAAGCAGTTCCATCATCTTTTTGCTGCTTGCTCTTTTTGAAGGCATGCAAGGGTGCTCTAAGGAAAACAAGATGGCCTGCCCTGTCACCAGTGCTGGATTTAGGCCAGGTGCGTTCTCCATGTTTCCGGGAGAGGAGGCCCACTACCTCTCCTGGACCCACTACCTGATCCACCCTGAGTGTAGTGCTTAGCCTCACTGGCTATGCAGGTCAGATCCAGAGGCTTTCAAACACATTTTGCTATCAAAAGCAGCCTTTCAATGGTCTGTGCTGCCTGGGCAGGCTATTTTATTTATTTATTCATGGGGACACCTTTGTAAAATAGGGGTGTCTTTACCTCAGTGACACCTCAACGGAAAGGGCAAATTGATTTCTTGCCTGGGCTGGGAAAATACCAGGCTTGAAAGCAGCCAACTCCTTATTAATAAGGATGATTACATTAAATCAATGAATATTGATAGGAGAAGTGCTAATGGCTTTAAACTGAAAGGGGGTAGATTTAGATCAGATGCAAAGAAGAAGCTCTTCACTGTGAGGGTGGTGAGGCACTGGCACAGGTTGCCCAGAGCAGCTGTGGCTGCCCCCTCCCTGGCAGTGTTCAAGGCCAGGTTGGATGGGGCTTGGAGCAACCTGGTCTGGTGGGAGGTGTCCCTGCCCATGGCAGGGGGGTTGGAACTAGGTGATCTTTGAGGTCCCTTCCAACCCAAACCATCCTATGAGTCTATGAAAATTAAAACACACAGCAGGATATTTTGCTGCTTGGAAAATGGTATTTACTGAAGCAGTGATTGCAGTCTAAATGGCATGTTTCTAGATTTGTAGTTAGCCCTTTTGAAAGATTCTTGGGTGAATTAATGTATTTTATAGCCTTCCATTGTAGGTTTGTATTGTATAAATTAAACTATGTGTTAGTATAATTAAAAGCTTGGTCCTCCAGTCTGTTTGATTCTGTTGGCAGCAGCAGAGGTGAAAGCAGCAGGATCTTGCTTGGCAGTTGCTGCACGAATAAATGTAAACCAGGAAACGTTGTAAGAATTCTGTTTTAAAAGCATGTGGCATAAAGTAAGGCAGACCTTTTTTCTGTTCTTTTTGTCCTTATTTTCATCTGTGATGATGCTTAAATCTTGGGGTTTAGATGTAAATAACAAATATATTTATAGGTTTTTTTGAGAACTGGAATAGAAGGCTCCCAAAATAACAACAAAGTCAATGGGAGAACTTGCTTCCCAGATATCCTGTAAAACAAGCACTCTTTCATAATTATGCATTTGTGTCTCAAATCAGGTAATTTTTTAATATATACATTTTATTAAATGGTTGAAAGATGGAATGGCAGTATTGTTTACTCTGGAATTAATTAGACAAAGCTACTATGTGTAGTGTTGGGGCATTTGACAAAATGGACCATCTTTTACTTTATCCTTACAGTGTCTGTTAAAACTGTGACTATCTATTTTTTTAAGCTTTTACATGAATTAGGGTTCAGTAGTCATTCATTTTGTAACCTGAAAATACAATGAAGTAACAGTCTTAAACCTTTTTTCTTGTCTGGTTGAATGTACTGTAGTTATGCCTGGGAATAAATATGAAAATACCAGGGATTATAGAAATCTTCAGGTCTAGAAAACATGTAGATTTAAAAATTGCTTTATTACTTAAGCAAGCAAAACCAACAGAGCTATAGGATTGATGAGATGAACCTTGCTTTTCCTGTGTAGGGACTTTCAGGGTATTCAGCTAAGGTTTCTGACCCAGTATCCTTGCCTTCCTTTGAGTCCCACAACAAAACATTTTTCTCCTCTAAGTATGTCACAACTAGAATCTGCTAAGTGGCCCCTCTCTGCTTCTGTAGAAGGCTTCAGTCCAATCATTGTGTATTTTGTATTGTCTTATTTCCCTTCAGTTCTTGGCATATCTCTTCTAATTCTCTTGAAGTAGGCTTACCTCATTTTGAAGTAGAGTCTATTTCAGTGTTTGCCCTTACCTATGGGCACTTCTAAATTCAGTTTTGTAGCGTATTGCACTGTCATAAAGCCTCTTTTATGGCCTCTTTAGCTTAATTGCTCTTTTCCCCTCCAATTCAGTAAGAAATTTCTGACGATTGCAGGTTGATTGCGCTACTCTGACCTCTTCAAGTACTCCCTTACGGCATTCAGGTTCTCTTGCAGTGGCTGCCCCGATCTGTCCATCACTGTCTGTAGCAAAGGAAATCTGCTTAAAATACAGGTGACTTTCCACTTATGTGGCCCTCTGATCCATAACCAGTCATACATGTGAGCTGGTTGAATGACAACGAAAAGTTTACTAGCCTTGCTAGATTGTTTTGGAGTAAAAGTGAAATCTGGAATAAATTATCATGGCATTGAATGCAAAAGCAATTTACTGGCCTTCATCAGTTGCGGGCCTTTTCTTAAGTGAATCAGTTTTTTGTCACTTTTTGTGTGTGCCAAACGTGCCCATTTGATTGTTAATTTTTTCTTATTCTGTAACTCTCTAAATGCAGGTCTTGCCTTTGCTCTTCTGTGTAAAGAAAAATAACTGATACAGCTTTTAGGACCACTGCCTTTGTTGTAATAGGTTTTTAATTGACTCTCTTTTCCTTATTTTGACTTGTGGTGCAAATGTGGTTTTTTCTCTTAACATTTTTTTTTATTCTTTGTCTCTTCAGTAAAAGCAGTGTGATTTTGCTAGCCTTCTGGTCATGGTGATGTACCTATAATACAGTTTAGAAATACTTCTTTTATGCACTGGTTTGATTTTTGCAATCCATTTTATTCAAATTCACTCGCTTTCTTTTTTTTTTTTGCTAGGTGTTACGCTTTACCACTGCAAACCAGGTTTTGACCTTGTTTAGTTCTTCCTGTTCTTTCCCTTGTCCCTACCTGATTGTAACACTTACTGTCCTGAATGGTCCCTTTTACTCTGAACTTTGAAGGGAACACACCTACATTGGAATTTTCCCCAAAGTGAAGTTCACCACCCAAGGTTTATGGATGGCTTGATGTGAGCTATTCCAAGGATTGTTTTATGTCCTGTGGTCTGTTAGAAGTGTTGTCTAAGTAGTCATCCTGAAATATAGATGTATATATTTATATATACTTGAATTCTTTAAAAACACTCCGCCTGAACCAACTTTTTAAAGAAGATTGGTTTCTAAACCTTAAAGAAGGTATGATGAAATCAGCAGGGTTCATTAGTCACTCATTAACACCTTAGGGGAAAGGTTGGATCGCTGATTGGAAAGCAGGTAAAAGGGACATTTCTGAAAAGATAATTTGAAAGCTGTGAAGATTTCTATAGGTTCTACTGCTTACTCTGCTGTACAGTGGAAGCACTTTCTATGTTAAATAGTTTATTTGAACAGTGATACCTTGATATGAGGATGTCACTGCATAAGATTGTTACATTTATGGAGTTGTGTTGCTTGAGTCTCCTCCGGTTTTTCTGTTATGTGATTTAAATAATGTGCCAAAATATAATTTCCATGATTGCTGAATCAATGAATTGTAAATCTCACGGTGGTTTTATTAACTGATAGTGAAAAATTACTTTAAGTTTTACGTACATTTATGTTTTTTTCAGAATGAAGTTTGAATGTCTTGTAAATAAAGTGTATTTTTAAAGAAACCTGTTGTTCGGAGCTTGATGTATGTTAGCAATAGGGAGCTTGTATCAGTTGGGCTAATTTTAAGACCTTTGTTATGAGGGAAGTTTGTTTTTAACCTGTGAGCTTGTTAATGCTGCAAATTTTGCTCTATGTTTGGAAGAGCAGGGGACAGACACTCAGAATCTTTTCC